ATTCAAAATAGTAGGCAGTTTAGTTGAGGTACGGGGAACAGAATTGGTAGACGAGTCGCTGGGATCGCTCCGTCTTCTTCATGATGCCCTTTTTGTAGTATTGGCGGATGGAGCGAGAGAGCTTGTCGTAGTTCATGGCGGGTCGGTTCTTGCGTCGGCCCCAGAGACGGGCGACCCTGACGCTGTCCTCGATCTTGAAGACGCCACTGGGCCTGTCCAGCCACCGGATACAGGCGCCGTAGTGTTTCCCGTCGCAAAGTAATTCCTTGAGGAATTGCCAGAGCTGGATGTGCGCGTTGCCAGAGCGACCTCCGGCGGCAGGTTTCTCGGCCCCGTCGCAGTCGTCGTCTTCTGTGAAACGAGAGGAAATTATGATATGAGACACAGTACAATTATACTGAAGTGGGACTACAGTAATATCTGTCAACGTACGGGGTTTTTACTCTTCAACACTTTTCAAAGTAGAATAATTGCGACACGAATTTTGCAAATAACCGGTATTTTCCCACCAAATGAAACTAAAATTTGTTTTTCTTGCGATACGCTTTTACGAAAAAACCGCACAACAAAGTCGTTCAACAACGTTGGACCAATTATGAACTCCATAAATGTACTGTATCATAAGTGGGGTGGATAACCTAAAAATTTATCAAAAAGCTGCAGACTTAAACAAGAAAGTATTAAAACAAGAAGGAATATGAAGCAATTTCGAAGTTTATTACAGTACAATACTCCAACGCCACCCGCAGTCCGAGAATCTCTGAAAATACCCATGGCTTCGTCATATGGTTTTTAGCGAAAATGTAAATTCAACAACGCCGACAATGACTGCGCTGAAATGTTCATTATTGTTGTGAACCTCAGAATTCCTGTAAAATAACCTTTCATCTGCTGCTGAGACTACCTATGAAAAGCGGGTTCAGAAAACGTATTATTTTCTCGCCGCATATACCGAAACTTAAACGTACGCCCTTACAACAATTTCAACTCTTCACCGAAGTTTCAGCGAGAAAAAAAAAATAATACGGGGACTTCTAACTCCCGTTATAATGGGGTTTCATTCGAAAGAGATTTCATTATTCTCAGCAGGTCAGCCTCATTCAGAAAACCCGGATCTGCCAAACGAACTCCATCCATGCTGGTCGAAAGCGAAAAATTCGGCACGCGTGCCGTTTCGCAGAATTCCTTCGTGAACAATATGTACTCGTACTGACTACATATAAGCATGGGCCTAAGTTGGAAAGCACGGGTAGTGTTGATAGCTGTGCTGTGAGAGGCTGTAGACAGGGATATGGAGCACGTACAAACGTCCTTAACTGTTTTAACCTTGTCCATTAAGGTCAGGGGGATGAGATAACTCCATTAGGTTCACCCGGTCGATGAGGAAAGTATGGCAAAGTATTATTTGCATGCCCTTCGCAACAGGATTGCACGTTGTATAATAACTAAACATACGAACTCAAACTTAACAGCATACAGCAGGTGTATTACGAAAAAAATGGCTGAGAATTGCAAGGTATTCGTTCGCAGAAAATATTCACAATATACGAATAGAAAATGCACGGATTGCAGCACAAAATGTCGTTCACGAATCGAACGCACTTCAACACAATTGACTCCAAATGGGATGGGATCATAATTTTTATTGAAGTTATTCCGCTTCCTTTATTGTAAAGTCTGGTTGGATGAATGGGAATGGTCATAATTATCAAAGGAATACTAATCTAAAACGTCCCGGACAGTGTTCCAAGTTTGACTCGTCCCGCACTCAAAATTGTAATAAAGAGATCATTTGAAGTCGTATTTATGCAGTCGTATATATGGAATAATAAGGCTGACTTGCAAAGCACTACCAAATGTATCACATTGGAAAGTCTCCTTTGAAAAATTATGTCTCAGTCAGACCTGACAACCGAAATCAAATGAAGTAAGTTTATAAACTTCAGAATTTTAATGCTAGCGATGCTGAATGTTTATCCTAAAATGCTAATTTGTGGACAAGACGTTGAGTCGGTCAACTATGCAATTGAATAAATCCCAACATGAGGATTCTGATTTGCATAAAACTTTGTGACACAAAAACTAAATTTTCAAGATACTTGTACAAGCAAAATTTTCAAACCAGCCCTCAAAAAGCCTTAGTGGTTTCCATCCTTCGAATAACATATAATCTCTTTTCATTTTCAACCGAAACCCTTTCAAAGCAATGTCAACATAACACCCCCATCTATAGCCAAGAATCATGAACAAAAGAACGAAAAAATTCCCGATCCTCATTTTTCATCAAAAAAGGATAAAAAAGTGTCTCATTTCCTGTGTGCGCTGGGCTGCTATGACGAATCCGACGAATGATACAGAACGAATCGAAAAGCCATCAACGACCGAGTCGAAAATGAGCAGGTACGCTGATGAATTGCACGTTTCCTGGCGCATTTGAGCCTTTTATTGAACTAAATTTGCGACCATCGGACAGAGATGACGAACGCGTGAATTTTCCACGAACATTTATCACCCTTTTCACTCGATTCATCATTACTTTTCTGCCTCATAGGTGAGATCCTCGCTCGAAAGCCATCAATTTTTTCCCTTTGCATTGGGCGCGGAAGTATCGATAATTCGTCGATGAGAACTGGAAACGATCCAGTAATGGGGAATTCCGAATTATTTTACAGCTTTAAAATAAGGTACAGTAGTATGAGTACAAGAAGTTCATTTGGCAGCGAAAAAAGCAGAGAGGAACATCAACATCCAAACCCCGATTGGCTTGCCGATATTAAAATCTGGAACTTGCCCTATTATTTAATTGCGTGCCCGAAAGGTTTGCATTCAAGGGAAAAATTCCTTTTCGTGAATGATTTAAAACAAAATATTACTGTACTGAAATACAGTATACTGAGGATACCTGCATTTTAGGAAAGAATAAAAGGCACAGCTCGATGCTGAAAAGTATACGTATTCTTCATCAATCATTTCACGAAGATTTCCAATTCAAATAACCGCAGCATGATATCGCAGCAATGATCCATGCATACAGCACATCCCGACATCCGAAGTCCAGGATCAATTCGAGCTTGGAATTATTTGGTATACGATTAAAATGATAATTAAACAGCTGCATCGACATTGAAACTGCGGCAGGACAGGAGAATAAGAAAAAGGTAGAACAACTCGGACAAATGTATCCCACACACGAAGAGATGAGATTCAAGAATGTTGTTGAACCGCGGATACGAATGTTTCCACGTTGCGAACAAAGACCTTAAAATGTTAAGTCTCAGTGGAAAGAGTATTCTTTCACATCTTGTCGTAACAAAGCAGTACCGTTTCCGCATATCTCACACGTTCCATGTCCCGAAAAGAAAGGCAAAATAGGCTGGGCCGAAAAAATAAGAGATGGAAAATCGCGTGACAAAGCGACAAGGAAGTCGCCAGTCTGCTCGGGAACGCAATAAATAATATAAGTTAAGCGAATGAGGAAAAGGAAAAAAAAGGCCGTAATAATAAGCGTCGACGTCGCAAGTCACGCAGATGAAAAGATAGTCCTCAGTTAAATAATTCGAAAAAAAAATCCATCACAACTGGCCTGGACAAAAACTTTTGAAGTTATTACCAGGAATCCACAATACGAAGCAGGAAATGTTAACAGAATCTGACATCGATAACCCCTCTCATTTGGGACACTTTTCCTGTAAATGCTCCATCATTTATCTCATTGACTCATGGCCAAATGAGTATACAAAAAAATTCATGACAGAGATAATTAAAACTTTTTGAAATTGTAAGCCAAAGTTATCATTCGAATCGTCCAAAAAATATTTCATGATGAACTTTAGAATTTCAATTATCCGGGCTTTGACGAACCCTGCTGTACAAGCACCCTTCGAAGAAAGAAGACAAAACTGCCCGCAAACTTATAATTCGAGCCAGTTACGTTCCTTGGGAACGCCTTTTTTACATGACGTTGTTTACACGTAAATATTTATACGATATTAAAAATGTTAATAGAAGATCTGATAAGATCACATGCGAGACCTCGTGCTACACAATCGGTCCTAGTAGCCTCAAAAAACATAGGAATATCTTACCTAATAAAGTTACTTGCGTTTGTCAGTGATTCCGTTGGCTCAATGTCTATCCCTCCTCACTTTTCCCCCTATCTTCCTCCCGATAAGCCCCACCCACAAGAACAGCAGGCGGGAATCACGGGAACCCGCATTTTCAGGTCAAAAGGGATACCGTCAGATCACAAAAAATGTACTGCAACAAATGTGCATTTATAAATATGCTATAATTTTTACAATTATCTTCTAGACTATTCTAGTGTACGCTCTGGAGCACGATGTGTTAGCCAGGATCATCGGAGTTTTTTGTATCCTTTATTTAAGGATACCTTACTGTACAGTACTTCTTATTTAAACGCAACGCCAGACATGCTTTCTTGATGCTCACATAGGTGTCACTTGGGTCGACTTGAACTTCGTTCAGCTTCGGTCACGCTGAGAGATACAATACAGAACACGCAACACATCCCAGAAAATCCATAAACTTGATGCTGAAAACTGAAGTGCCGTCAGATGGACACAATGCCATGTATTTCAGTTGAAGTACATGGACTCGTGACTGAATCGGTTTACCGTATTCGAGCTTATAGGTTGTTTGCAGTGAAAGTCTCCTATACATAGCGAGAAAGCGATTATCAAAAGTCAATGCCAAATCAACCTGTTTTACATAAAGCGATTTGAATCTTTAAATTTCAGGAAACCTATAAGTTATGTTGAAATCCTGGAAATTCATCGCAACTTTTTTTCCCCTTACACAACGGTTTAGGTCCTCTCTCTTCAGGTAATGACTCATGTGACATCGGTCTGACATTTTAGAAAGCGCTGTGTCAAGCAAGAACGCGAAACGTCCCAAAAATCAAGATCGAAATTACCCTCAGAGTCGCTCAACATGAAAAATGAACTTCCCATCAGTCGAACAGCAAGCCTGTCCCATCAGTAGTTGGCAAAGCCAACTGTACGCATCAAATCCAGGGCTCCAAAAACGTTGCGACTTGCGAGACTGCAGCTTGTCTGTCCAGCGAGGAAACATCATGCTCACACGCAGGGGCGTCCATCCATCGCGCCACAAAATACAGTACGCAGGAAGGAACGCGCGCGAAACGAGCAAGAGAAAGAAAGGGGCTGCGATGCGCGAAGGACACGCATGCAAACGGCAAGGCAACACTGAGGGCTCTCTCGTTTGCCCGATTATCCATCTCTTCCACTCTCTCTCTCTCTCTCCCCACCTACCGTCCCACCTCGAGTTAGCCTGCCTTTCTCTTCGCTCGTCGTCGGGGCCGAGCCACTCCCTTCTGGCGAGAAATGAATGCCTCTCTATGCACAGCCTCTGAAGCTCATCGGAGCCATCATGCCTCCGAC